GCAGGCGTATGTTATGGACAACGAACACAGTTGCATTTTATTGATGGCATTTTGAATGCACAGAGATACCGTGACGAGATCCTGAGGCCCATTGTTATTCCATTCCTGTTCTGTTCCTGGATCGGTGTATACGACAGCGTGTTCCAGTTCCTGCCAATATCCAGCAACTTCGCACAGCCATTGAAGAGGAGTGGACCAACATTCCACAGGCCACAATCAACAACCTGATCAACTCTATGTGAAGGAGATGTGTTGCACTGCGTGAGGCAAATGGTCGTTACAACAGATACTGACTGGTTTTCGACCCCCCCGGACCCCCCAATACAGTAAAACTGCACATTTTAGAGTGGCCTTTTATTGTGGCCAGCCTAAGGCAGACCTGTGCAATAATCATGCTGTCTAATCAGAATCTTGATATGCCACACCTGTGAGGTGGATGGATTATCTCGGCAAAGGAGAAGTGCTCACTAACACAGATTTAGACAGATTTGTGAACAATATTTGAGAGAAATAGGCCTTTTGTGTACATAGAAAAAGTCTTAGATCTTTGAGTTCAGCTCATGAAAAATGTTGGCAAAAACAAAAGTGTTGCGTTTATAATTTTGTTCAGTGTATTATTAGAAATCAAATTTAGTAAAATAATTTATTTGAATTATTATTTCAGTAAACTACATGCAAATAAAACTAATTAGCCTATTCTGTCTTAATAATAATAATAATAATAACCAATTCATATTTTACCCCAATATCTAAAGAAAAACAAAACAAAACACAAAGAAAGTTATTATAAGAAAATTGAGACTATGTTTGTGTATGAGTATTTATTTATTTATGTATTTATACTTCCCAACTGTAATTCTAATAAGAAATAATTATTAGAAATCAAATTTAGCAAAATAATTTATTTGGATTATTCTTTCAGTGAACTACAAGAAAATAAAACTCATTAACATATTATGTCTTATTAATAATATTAATAATAGTAATAATAATAATAATAATAATAATTACCAATTCATATTTTACCCCAATATGTAAAGAAAAACAAAACAAAACGCAAAGAAAGTTATTATAAGAAAATTGAGACTATGTTTGTGTATGAGTATTTATTTATTTATTTATACTTCCCAACTGTAATTCTAATAAGAAATAATTATTAGAAATCAAATTTAGCAAAATAATAATTATTATTAGAATAAATAATTATTCTTTCAGTGAACTACATGAAAATAAAACTCATTAACATATTCTGTCTTATTAATAATAATAATAATAATATTAATAATGATAATGATAATAATAATTACCATTTCATATTTTACCCCAATATCGAAAGAAAGAAAGAAACAAAGAAAGAAAGAAAGAAATTGTATTAAGGAAATTGATAATATATTTGGACAATGGCATATTTGTTTGTTTGTTTACTTGCATGGCAGTTATGCACATTTAACTGTGACGATACATTCCTTCTCTGGTACACTTGATTCTGAATGATCAATTGCAGCATTCTGTGGTCAAATATTTCTTGTATAATGATGTATATGTAAAAACTAAACTGTAGAATTGACCTTTGTCAAGAGGTTTTGCCGAGAACACTGAATTTGAACTAGTTGCCATGCTGCCACCCAGTGGCTGTGAGTACACATGTACTTTCAGACAGTATAGATGCTAAGGATTCTGGTGAAACGTGTGTATTTGTGTGTAATATGCAGGTATTGAGTTGACCAGTGAGAAGGAGGTGGATCTGGCCACTGAAGTGCAGGAGCTGTTGGAGTTTCTAAATGAGAAACAGCATGAGCTGGACTTGAACGCTGAACACACACAGAAACACCTGGAGCAGTGTGTGCAGCTGTGCCACCTACAGGCTGAGGTTAAACAGGTAACAAACACACACACACAGAATTCTCAACATAGTGGCTCATCACATCCAGATTGAGATGCATAACCTGTCCCATCTGCTTATCCATCTCAGGCCCAAAAGTGAAACGTTATCAATGAAAAACCTTCCTGCTGCTTGGATAATCAAAGCTATGTTTATTGTTTGTTTTCTTCATATTCGTAGTGTAGTCTTGGGATAAAGTTCAGGCAGATGTTAGCTGTTCTGAAATATGTGTCTTAGATGAGGGAGACACCTGAAATGTGAATTTTTGGTGGTACTCTAGGACCAGAGTTGGGAAAAACATTTACATAGTATGCAAAGTGGTGCTTAATGCAAGACCGCTACAGTAATTCTTAAATGTATGAATGTAAATGTTTAAGTAATAAAGATTTTTTTTATTTATTAATTTTAGCAAGATGTTAAGGGCTAAGACAAGACAATACAATGTTCACTTTCATGGGAACTTCGAACTGCGTCCTCTAGGGGTCACTATGGGGAATGCCTCGTCGTGACCCATGTCTGAAGCATACATTGAAAAAACACCAACAACACGTTGGCCGGCAACAGCCATGACGTCACTATTGGTGCGACTATAGTATAAATAGGCACGAGGAGAACACATCATCCTCTTCTTCATCTTCAGTGACTGTTTTGTTTGAAGCGTGCACTTCTGTGGTAAGAGCGATCTCTATTCATATCATTTTGGTGAGCACTAGCAAAGCGTTTAGAGCAGTGTTTCCCAACCTTTTTTTAGTCGCGGCACCCTTTGGAAATTTTAACAAACTTGTGGCACCCTACAAAATTAATTTTGTCACAATATTTGAATTTCTAACTTCGATATGATCATTTGAAAAGTGTAGATATTCGGTACAACAGGGAAGAACTGCAGAATATAATGTCATACAGATATTTTT